GAGAACAAGCGCCACATACGCAACTTAAGATTTTTTACGTCCAAAAAGAAATAGCGTACTAGTCGATCAGTGATTGAGAAAGTACTCAAAGAATTTCAAACTTTTTTCATCGAATCAGAGAAACACACAAGCAGAAACGTTTTTTACGTCAAAAGCATGCGTTACTACGTTGCTTAGTAACCTTCTTACCGAAAAGAAAAGGGCGAAAATGTGTGCTGTTAGTGAAATGAAAAGCTATTTGGAAAAATAATTACAAACAATAAGAAACAAACAAATAAACAAAATCACTCAAAAAACCGCTTTTAAGGTAAAAAAACGACAATATACCACAAGTAAGGTAATCCAGCTTCTATTTAACATTTATATATATACATACTTAGCGATATATCGCTATAGGTGAAGCAAACGGTACATCCAGTACATTTACTTTCAAATAACAATCGGTTACACACACAGATTGTGTGGGCGCCCTGTGAAAAAACCAATGACCAAAATATGTTATATACATGAAAAAATTTCTCGATTGTGATTGGCTAAGAGCGATGCAGTTTTCAGGTAACACGGTGCAGAAAAAAGGTAATTGAGTGCAGAAAAGAGTAACAAATGTGACATTCTGATTGGCTAATAAACAACGGAACTCACTGGGAGCCAATCAAATGCGCCATCTAAATGGCGCAAAATTTGGATCCGCTCCGAACCAGTTTCGAGGAAAAACCGCAATGGTTGGCGTTTGCAGCACATTTGCTTTTGCGACCGAAACAACTGTAGAGGAGCTGAAAAACTGCTCTAAAAACGAAAACACTGCAATCCGAAAAGCACTGGTTTTTGGCTCTCTGTTTGGAAGAACTGGTGCGTAGATAAGGAAATTACTGATGAAATAGAAAATCATGAGCCCGCTGGGCTTAACACTTTCCTCGAGCATTTCTACGCCGAAATAAAAAGTTGAAGATTATGAACCAGAAAGCCTTAAAGTAATGATGGCATCGCTTGATAGACACTTAAAGACCAAAGGCTGCACCCTGTCCCTTGTACGTGACCGAGAATTTAGTTCGTCCAAAGAGGTGTTAGAGGACAAACTGAAACAGCTTCGCTTGGCTGGCCGTGGTAAGCGCCCAAACAAAGCTTGGCAAGTATGAGAGGAGGAAGAAGAAATTCTCTGAAAGAGCTCATGAAAACTCGAGGTAATAACCCAGAATCTTTAATTCAAACACATTGAACAATTCCATGGACTGTTCAGCCCGTTTCTGCAGCTTGCAAACTAACAACAAACTAAAAACATCGAGAAAAATGTTGTTTTGACTGCACTTGTGATGATATTTGCGGCATTTGAATAATTCATTTTTTTTCTCGTAGTTTACGCTATCTCGCAATTTTTTCATGAGTATTATTAATAAGTAATCATATGATTTTTCTCGTGCAATGTGGAATAATTTACTCGTGCTTATTAATTCCAAATTACACTCGAAATCATGTGATTACCTGTACAAATATGCGTAAAATAGTCTGATTGCTTTTCGTCGGTAGTTTTTAAAATCTCCTTACCAAAAATACCCTGCACTTTCGAAGATTAATAGCGGAGCTCTCGCGCGCGAAGCGCGCAGCGGAGCACCATGGGTAAAGAAATGTGGTAAACTACCCATCCGAGAAAATTTGGTAATCACATGACCGTACACCGACCGCCCGCCCGACCGTCCGTCCATCCAAAAAGAAATAGCGTACTAGTCGATCAGTGATTGAGAAAGTACTCAAAGAATTTCAAACTTTTTTCATCGAATCAGAGAAACACACAAGCAGAAACGTTTTTTACGTCAAAAGCATGCGTTACTACGTACGGGAGGTGACAGCTCTAACAAGGGCTGTTTCGGGAGAAAAACAAATTTATTCCGGGAATCTGAAGATTTTGCTAGGAATCGGGAAACCTGGGAAATTTTTCGGGAAATATGAGATATTTTCGGGACATTGAGCAAAGATTTGATATTACATGTTATCAAACAATATACATACGGTGATATGCACCCAGTGTATGCGCTGTATTCTATGTATTTTGACACTTGAAAACGGCTGAACTTCCCATGAAATGAAAAGACCAATCAGCAACGTTTCAAACTAAAATAGCATGAAGTTCGAGTGCGATTGACCACGTGCAATCCCTAGCGGATTGACACAAGAACTGACCGGTGCAAGGCAGGGCGTTATCCACCCTGGTGCAAGGCACATACTATCAGTTCACACCAGATCCCATAATTCATTAGTTCAGGGGTATTTTTACGCTGCACGTTAACGAGTTTTAAGAGCACATTCAACTGATTGCATACTGGAAAACTTGAAAGAAGTATGTAAGAAGTATGTAAGAAAAAAACGAAACTCATTTAACCTTGTTAAACACAAATGAGGCCATAAAAAGGAAGACTCTTTAATCATCCTGATCTCGTCGGGGTCCTTCCGATTTTGCTCGAAAATCCCGAATCCCGATCAATATGCGTTCGGGATAGGAAAATTTTAGATTTCGACAGTTGTTCTGAAATTTTCACATGACTTCTTATGATACTCATACAATGACACCACACAGAGTATACTTAGCTGAAAGTGATATCCAGAGCAATTTCAAAAACCGCGCAACTTGTATAAAATAAAATTGACCACTTCTACGCGAAGTCACGCCAATAAAAATAAGCATAAAAAGGACAATTGATTTAGAGAACATTTTGGACAGAATTTGTCCTCTCAGAACACTAGAAATGGCGTTTCAGAGCACCAAGATTTCAGAATTTTCTGGGGGAGCATGCCCCCAGACCCCCCTAGTGGTTGGCCCCTTCACTGCTCGCCTGATTCATTGGTGATCAAAAAACAAAAAACAAAATTGGGTATACTTAAAAAGTTTGACAGTCTTTCCGTGTTAACATGATACCCTCTAAACGAAAAAATAACTAAGATTAGATAATTAACAAATTACATAATTAACAAGAAATTGCAAAAAATCTCTAATCAAAATTTTAATTTTAATTGTTAAAACAATTTTGGGAAGTTAAACATTTATGGGTAATGCCACCGAAAAATTCGGGAGGGTCGACGAAATTTCCGGGAGGACATAAAGTTATTCATAGGACTGCCCAAACAGCCTTTGTTAGAGTTGTCACCCCCCGTACTACGTTGCTTAGTAACCTTCTTACCGAAAAGAAAAGGGCGAAAATGTGTGCTGTTAGTGAAATGAAAAGCTATTTGGAAAAATAATTACAAACAATAAGAAACAAACAAATAAACAAAATCACTCAAAAAACCGCTTTTAAGGTAAAAAAACGACAATATACCACAGGTAAGGTAATCCAGCTTCTATTTAACATTTATATATATACATACTTAGCGATATATCGCTATAGGTGAAGCAAACGGTACATCCAGTACATTTACTTTCAAATAACAATCGGTTACACACACAGATTGTGTGGGCGCCCTGTGAAAAAACCAATGACCAAAATATGTTATATACATGAAAAAATTTCTCGATTGTGATTGGCTAAGAGCGATGCAGTTTTCAGGTAACACGGTGCAGAGAAAAGGTAATTGAGTGCAGAAAAGAGTAACAAATGTGACATTCTGATTGGCTAATAAACAACGGAACTCACTGGGAGCCAATCAAATGCGCCATCTAAATGGCGCAAAATTTGGATCCGCTCC